AATTGAAAAGTTTACCTGGGGGAATAAAGTTGGGTAAATAGCCATCCTATCCCAAAATGATACTAAGTATATTAGAAATTGCTTTTTGTACTATTTTATATTGCCTTCTCTTTCCTACATCAGTTTTTTTATACTACCTGCAGTGGATTAATTACAAAGAGTGAAACATCACAAAGAATCTTTTGTGTTCAGGTGTATTCTGACTAAATAATATCCACAACATGATAATCAGGTACACTTTTAAAAGCAGAAATGCAACTTTAAGTGTCTGTTTCCGAGAACTTTTAGTAATATGCTATATAAGACAGCATCAGTGTGATTTAAAAATACTTCAGAAAAGCTGTGGGGAATTGCTATGAAGATGGCACAGGTGACAGCTTGGAAATTTGATTGTGTTTATTCATGCTGTGTGCAATTAAAGCTAGTTCCTAGAAAGCTTTTCGGAAATGCTGTGAACTTCTTAACAGGAGGTATGAGGCTTGTATTGCTTCCATTGTTTTTTTCTTGCTGCTGCATTCTGCCTTCCTTTTGAGAACTCAGCTGTGACATTATTTGGTTTTACTTCTTCCCACTTAACGTGACATAAACTCATGGTTAATTGACCCTTAGAGACAATGTGATGTAACAGAGAGACCCTGGCTTTGGAATCTCTGGTACTGTTTAGTCTTAGTTTTGCTTTTCACTCACTGTAGGAATTAATCTTTCTGAGTTCCTGAATTTAACTTAAGTTGAGAAATTATGTCAGTAGACTTAATAGCCATCAGTGGCGAAAACTTGGCAGTGTGTAGAAAACTCATGGAGGTTGAGAAATAATGGGAAAAGAGTGAAGAAAGTAAGGTGGACGATGGGAAACTCACTTAATCAGGTAATTCAGATAGCGTTAAGACCTAGAAATCCCAAGAAGTGGGGTGTTAGGATATCAAGAAAGTATAGAAACTTGCATTTATCCTTAGCTTTCCTCTTGAACAACTCTGAGTAATATCTCTTTACCTTCCCATGAAAGTCTTCTCTCCACCTTTATTCAATTGCCATTTCTAATATGCCTAAGGTAATTTTTTCTTACAATGGAAATGAACCATATTTATATTCTAACCCTAACCTTCAATACAACCAGTATATTTTGACTTTCCCTAATTTGGCTAAGTAATGAAAACTGAAACATTGGTGAGAGATGTGTGTCCTCCCCCTTTAAATTCTTAGTTTATAAGTAACAAAGATTTCTTGGAAACCTCAAAGCAGGGTTTTTCTTCAGGATCAGATTCTGTGAGATTGTGTCCCTTCTCTGCGATGATCTGGAAAGACCGAATGAGAGTAGGATGGGCCGGATGATACACCCACTGGGAGTAAATTGGTGGGCTTCGCAGGAAGCCTACACGATATGGTGACAGATTGCTGAGGGTTCCCAGCTCTGCTGCTTATTAGCTGCATAATCTTAGCCAAGCAAATTTTTCTGAATCTGTTTCTTTATATGTTTTTTAAAATATAAGGAGGTGCTTATAAAAACCATGCTGTGTACTTCTCCCATGAAGTATTTTGTGACCTATTAAATTCTGTACAGAGTATGTTTGAGGTTTTCTTTCACTTATTTTTTGTTTGTTTTTCTATATGACTCCGTTGCCAATTTTAGATTTTCAATCCTTTCAGTTTCTTGCTTAGACTTACTAGAGTTCTTCCTGGCCTGCAATTTTCACCTGGTGTGAAGCCTTAGCCCCAGGACAGAAGAGAACACAGCGACTCGGAGCAGAGAGGCCCAGTGCCTCCACTGTACAAATCCAGAACATAGTGAGGCCTGATCTCTGTGTAGCTAACTTTGGCAAAGAACACTTGGGTTTGACTTCTCTTTTGATATTCCTATGTTTCTGTGACTTACACTACCATGTATTAGTTCATGTCTTTTGAGCTGTGGATTTCAGTCTTCTTACAGATAGTCCATAGACATTTCAGACTTATAATGTCCAAAACTTAACTCGGTGTATATTCAAGTCAACTTCTTCACACCATATTTTCTTTCTCAATAGCCTTGCCATCTCTTCCCATCCTAGAAACTCTAATCATTTAAAATTCTTCCCTCTTTCTTTTATCTTCCTTGTTATCAGTTGCTAACTTTTGATTTTAGGAATGAGATCTTGACAAATCAATTAAGTTGTTTTAGTTACGCCTTTGTTATTGCAAAGAAGTCATTCTCTCATGAAGATAGGCCTCAGGAAACACATGAATGAAAGCGGGTCCTGCCAGGTATTAGACAGAACAGGCTGTAGGTTATACTCTGTGACTCTCTTGGTTTCTTATTAAACTCCCCATCATGATTTTCCTCTTTGTGTATCCCCTCAGCTTTAGCCCCCGTAAATAACTCCTTTATTACCTCAGTACTGCACACTTCAAATTCCAGAAAGGGACTGTGGTTCAGCTTTAAAAAAATATTTCTGTTTGGCAAAACATTTAATACTAGGTACTGGCCAGCCAGTAGATTTCTGGATGTCTCTAAATCAAGAATATGCTCCTAGCCCAGCTATACTTAGGATCTTAACGAGCCCGGCCGGTGTGGCTCAGTGGATGAGCATTGACCCATGCACCAAGAGGTCGCCAGCATGATTTCCGGTCAGGGCACATGCCCAGGTTGTGGGCCCTATCTCCAGTGGGGGGCATGCAGGAGGCGGCCAATCAATGTTTCTGTCTCTTTCTCCCTCTCCCTTTCTCCCTCTCTCTAATATCAATAAAGAAAAAACATTTTTTTAAAATAAAATAAAATTTGGATATTATTGGTTTAATGTTACTTTTAGGTACTTTGCAGATGTATTTTGAAACAATTTTTCCCCACTGCCATCAGGGAGACTCTCTTATTAGCTCTTACCTGTACTAATGCAGCATTATTCTCCTTCTCCTTACTCCCCAGATAACTACTTCCAGTTCATCGTAGCATTGTTTCTGGAGAAGGTTCCCAGTACAAGACTCATCTTATCTCTCTCAATGTGTTCATTTTTCTTTTCTTTTTTTAATTTTTATTGATTTTTAGAGAGAGAGAGGAAGGGAGAGGGGGAGAGAGATAGAAACATTGATGAGAGAGAACATCTATTGGCCGCCGCCTGCATGCCCCCCACTGGGGATTTGGCCCACAACCTGGGCATGTGCCGTGACCTGGAATCGAACCAGCGACCTCCTGGTACAGGGGTTGACACTCAACCACTGAGCCACACCGGCCGGGCTCTCTCATTGTGTTCAGAAACACCACTGACTCCCCATATAAAGCTCAGGTTCTGTAATCAGGCATGCAAGGAAGGGGCTCTCTAATATCAATTAAGAAAAAACATAAATAAGTTTGACCTTATTTAATTTCTAATTTTTTTCTTGCTATTTTCTTCTATATACTTATCCTCCATAGTAGTTTAAGTGCTATAAATACAAGGACAGTTGTTGCAGTGTTGTTTATAGTGGAAAAAAGAAAAGAAAAAAAAAACAATATAACTATGTTTTAAAAGGGAAATTGTTGAATAAGTGATGATAGGTCTCTATTATGGAGTGATATGCATTGTGTTAAAGTTTATTTTGGTTGTTACAAGTGACAAAAACAAAATTCAAACTTATATAAGCCAAAAGGAATATCAGTTGACACATGTATCTGAGAAGTTCAAGACATGGACTGGCTTCTTGCATGACTACATGCAGAGTTTAGAACAGGGGCATCTAGAAAACATCTGTCTTCTCTGTCTCTTGACTCTACTTTCTTTGTGTTGATTTCATTCCTAAGCTATGGCCAGCAGTGGTTTGTGTTCTCCCAGCTTAACTTCAGTGGAAAAGTACTGGTCTTATTGGCCTAGTTTAAGTCACATATTAATTCCTGAGGTAATCACTATGGCAAGGGTGGGGGGGTGGGGAGGGGGTTCGTATTTCATGGTTGTCTAGGCCTGAATTATGTGCCCATTACTGGAGCTCAGTGGTGAAGCCACCCCTACTAGAACTGCATGAACTGAAAAGAGAGGATTACAGGGCCAGGGTTTCCCAAGGGAAGGTTGGATTGCCCATACCAGGATGAGGAAGAGATTCTGAGCTGGCAAAAGTAACAGAAGTCCTCAAATGCCGCTTTTGAAAGATCCAGAAAGATGATTCTGACACTTATCGTACAAGGTGCAGAATAATATGGGTGTGTATGTGTGTGTGTATAATACGAGTAGACTGAGACATGTGAAAGTATACACATTAAACTGCTCACATTGCTTATCTCAGGAGGCTGAGTTGGAGGAGGTAGAGAACTGTAATATTTCTGTTATATAACTCTGTACTGTTAGACTTGTTGCCAAGAGCACGTACTGTTTTGTAAGAATAATTAAAAGTATAAAACTTAAAAGTTACAATGAAGAGTTTTCTTCTTGAATATTGAAATACCTGGCAGTTGCTTCTTGGGTGGCAGTAGTAATAATAATAGCTAACATTTACTAGTGCTTTCTCTGCATCAGACAAACTGCATATTGTATAATTTTATATTTAACCCTTACAGTAACCCTCTGAGGTGTTATTAGTAACTGTGATTGACATGTGTATAAACTGAAACATAGAGTAGTTGTTAGTCATTCCCAAACCTAGCTATCAGAGTGCCCTGGAGAATTCAAACAAGCAAACAAACATATCCCCACCTCTACTTTGAGCTGCCAGATCAAAATATCAGGGCTGTAGAGCCTAATCTATATATTTAACACACCCCAAGTGATTCATTTGAAGTTTGTTTGGGAATCCCACAGGTTCATGTATTTAACTCGTGGTAACACAACTAGTAAAGAATCAGAATTGGGTTTAAAACCTTAACAACTGCACTATTAACAGCATGGTTAGTATCACTGTTAAAATTCTATACTAGGTTTTTGGGTTAGATTAACCTTTGTAGAACAGCATGAAAATGTCACCAATAGTTATGAGGTATCTTTCTATATGGAATAATTCGGAATTCTAGGCATCTGATTTAGGAATGACCTTTTGATATATAACACAAAGGTTTACTCAGAGCAGGAGAATCTTTTAATTGCAGCAGGTGAATTAATGCATTACAAAGGTTAGCCGAATAGGCATCTTTTTTACTGTAACAACATATTACTGTTATATATTCATGAAATATAGTGACACAGGTGTATTGTTTCATAAAGAACTGTAGTTTCTACTTATTACACTAGTACTTTTTTGTATTTAATAAAGAATAAAATAAGAACAACACACGTCACTCCTCATCTCCCACCCCTATTCCTCTCTCACACACACAGAAGCATACTTTGGTTAAACACCAACTTAATTTCTTCTCTTACGCCTTTAATATAAAAATCTGATTTTCAATTCAATTTTGTAAACATTGGGGTTTTTTGTTGGTTTTTTTTAGCATTTACAAGGAAGGAAGCCACATTAAGGTAATAATTAGGCTTACACAATTAAAGTTTGCAAACCAAATTAAGCTAGGATAATGATAATTTCCTAGTAGCAAGTTGAAATAAATTTGATTTTCCTAGTATGCTTGTTGTCATTCAGCAGATGATAAAGAATTGAGATAGGAATGCAGACAGTTCAAGTCCACTTCAGCTTCATTGCACACAAAACAGCAAAAAGATTACATAGAAAAGAAAGTGAATGCTGTCCTTTGGATTCATTGTGGTGCCACCACTTTTCATAGTTGTCGTATTCTTGGTGGTGGATATCTTTGAGACCATTGCTATTTTCAGACTTGTCTTGGAATTCAGGGTTGTTATAGAATTTTTCTTCATCTTGGGATTTGAACTCTTTCGGAGATTTGTAGTTGTCTTTGGGGTTGTCTCAGAAGTCGGACTCCTTCTGGGTTTTGAGGTCATTTGAACATTTGTATTGGAATTTGGAGTTGTCGCAGAATTCGGGCTCCTCTGAGGTTTTGAGGTCATTTGAACATTTGTATTGGAATTTGGAGTTGTCACAGAATTCGGGCTCCTCTGAGGTTTTGAGGTCATTTGAACATTTGTATTGGAATTTGGAGTTGTCGCGGAATTTGGGCTCCTCCGAGGTTTTGAGGTCATTTGAACATTTGTATTGGAATTTGGAGTTGTCGCAGAATTCGGGCTCCTCTGAGGTTTTGAGGTCATTTGAACATTTGTATTGGAATTTGGAGTTGTCACAGAATTCGGGCTCCTCTGAGGTTTTGAGGTCATTTGAACATTTGTATTGGAATTTGGAGTTGTCGCGGAATTTGGGCTCCTCCGAGGTTTTGAGGTCATTTGAACATTTGTATTGGAATTTGGAGTTGTCGCAGAATTCGGGCTCCTCCGAGGTTTTGAGGTCATTTGAACATTTGTATTGGAATTTGGAGTTGTCGCAGAATTCGGGCTCCTCCGAGGTTTTGAGGTCATTTGAACATTTGTATTGGAATTTGAAGTTGTCTTAGAATTCAGAATCATCATGGTATTCTTAACTGTTGTAGAACTTGAGGCAATCATTGTCCTCGAAGTGTTATCAACAAATAGAATGAAAAGGCTGATGAGTGATAGCTTGAATATCATTTTCCTGTTTCAAAATATTTATAGAAATTTAATCTAAGACTTGGATCACAAACAAATTTAAGAACTAGCTTTGTTAAAAGGGGAGAAAAATGAAGGAACTTCTTTCCAACACTGGGGAAATGCCAACATTTTGGTTCATAGTTTTTAAGATAGAAGGAAATTTAGAAGTGATCAAAATCAACTCCTTCATTTTACAAATGGGCCCAGATAAAAAGTATAACTTGCCTGAGGACGCATATCAAAAAATGACCAGAACTAGAACTTGAACCAGAGTCTTAGTCCAGTGCTTTTCTAGATGTGGACTGTGAAGACGTAGTACAGATATACACCAAAATTTAATTGTAAGCCATTTTTAAATTAAGACTAATTTCTTTTTATCCTATATTCAAATCTAATGGCTTTCCACATTTGAAATCATGCAAGTAACCCATGTTGAGCATATTTAACTATTCTTTTTTTTAACCTAAAGCTCAAGTTTTAAATTTAGAAATCTAATATATACTGAAAGTTATATTTGATTTTGATATGTAATTGAGAAAATTTTCAATTTAATATTACCTTATAATATTTTTTCTTCAAAGATTAAGAATTCAGGCTTTCTCCAGTGTGTCCTATGTGGAATCTAATTTCTTACTCACTATGTGCTATTTAAATATTGTTAGAGAGGAAGTCACATGTTCTAAACTTGACCCTGCCATTTGCTCTTTGGAAATATCCTGTTGAGTGTTTCCCAAACAACTGAAACAAACAGATGAACTTGGGCAGAGATCAAGGAATTCAAGTAAAGTCTTTCTAAAATCTACTTGCTTACTTAAAGAACCCAGTAAATGCCATTTTATTATTTCTCTTATCCATGTATACATTACGAATTTCTTAACTGGAGTGACTAAAACTAGAAAAATATATACTATTTTGCCTGCTGTGATTATCATAAATTAAAATCAAGTAAGTATATTATAGGTAGATGTTTCTGTGTTGTTTTTTCCTAAAGCATCTTGTATATATGTTTATAAGGTAGTTTCTGACTATGGTTATTTTGAAGTAGGAATATAGCATTCCAGGAATTTAGTAACTAACTAAAGTAACCTATTAAAAAAGGTTAAACTTTATTCTTATAAAACTAAATTGAGAAAACAATTCTGTAAGAAAGTGGTTCTTTTATACTGAGTTTACAAAGCTTGTTTTAATACATTAAACCACCAACATTGAAGCACATTAAACTCTTTAAGAGAATTTAGTCTTTTGCTCACTCTTTTTCCTTGATAACTAGTGTACAGGGAAGTCAAGTTGTATTATGCTAATGTTTTCATCACAATGGCCAGCCCTCTTTAAAAATTGCAGGCTGTGAAAAATGGCCTTGTTTACATACAAGGAAATTGCTACATAAATGGCAGAAGTACAAGTCAGAACTTGTTCCTCACTTGTTTTACTTTGCTGTGAAGTTTTTTTTCCTCTGGAATGAATAGAACCAATGCTAGCTAAATACTATTTATATGGTACATATGTAGAACCTCACTTAACTGGAGGTTAGCGTGATGATACCTAAAAAGTAAATATTAAAGACCACATAGCAACCAGAGTGGATAATATAAATCAGAGTACTAAGGTAATGCACAGATAACTATATTGATGCTTCATACACCTCAATCTCAACTTATTTAAAATTCAACATTTTCCCCTTCCTGCTCTACTACCTAGATATATTCTCATAATCTCTTTCTCAGTTAATTGTATAAATACCTAGCCAAATGGCTCTCCAGCCTTGGCTTTCTCTTTATTTTCCTTTTCTTATTGATTTTAAAATACGTGGGCCTCTTCATAATAATTAAGTAAAATTTAAAGTTCTGAACTCTCCGTTACTCGTATGCCCCCAAACAAAGCATTTGCCCATTATTCAGACCTTTATTTATTTATTTATTTATTTATTTATTTATTTATTGTGCAGATAGAGTGAGAGGGAGAGAGAGGAAGAGAGAGAGAGAGACAGAAACATTGACGTGAAAGTGACACATCGAGTGACTGCCACCCGCACGACCAACCAGTGCTGGGGACAAACTGCAACCAAGGTACGTGCCCTTAACGGGAACCGAACCTGGGACTCTCTGGACTGCAGGCCGACGCTCTAACCACTAAGCCAAACCGGCCAGGGCGATTCAGACCTTTATTTTATTTTTTTTATTTTTTATCCTCACCCGAGGATATTTTTCCATTTTTTGTACAGATAGAGTGGGAGGGAAAGAGAGGAAGGGAGAGAGAGAGAGAGAAACATCGACGTGAAGGGACACATCGAGTGGCTGCCACCCGCACGACCAACCAGGGCCGGGGACATACTGCAACCGAAGCACGTGCCCTTAGCGGGAACCGAACCCGGGTCTCTCCGGACCGCAGGCTGACGCTCTAACTGCTGAGCCAAACTGGCCAGGGCAAAGAATTTTTTTCTTTATTGATTTTAGAGAGAGAGGAAGGGAGAGGGAGAGGGAAACATCGATGAGAGAGAACATCGATTGGCCTGATCCCCCCACTGGGGATCAGGCTCACAGCCTGGGCATGTGCCCTGACCGGGAATCGAACCGGTGACCATTTGGTGCATGGGTCGACGCTCAACCAGAGAGCCACACTGGTGACAGCGATTCAGACCTTTAAATATCTTCTACCTCGGTGTCTTCATGCAGCCTTCCCCACCTGCCCAGAGTGCTTCTTCCTCATTCAAAATTCTGTTCTTCCTTCAGGGTCTGACTCTGATGGCAGCATCTAAGTCGTTTCTTCTCATCAGTCATTTTAGGACTTCATACTTTAAGAGCACTTATCAGAGTCTGTATTTTTCTATAGCTGTATCCTAAATCTTTCCTCCACTAGATTCTCTTTCTTGTTGTTAGGTACTATCTCTTACTCTTTATATTCCTTCTACCTGCTAGCACAGTGAGTGCTTGTACGGAACTGGACATAGTAAACATTGGAATTTATAGCTTTTCTCTGTTTCTTTATGTTTGAGGGCTAATATCATTAATGATGTCTAAAATAATAAAAAGACATTTGGTTGTTTGTAGTTTTCCCTGCATCATAAGCATAAATTTACAAGTCACAGGCCAGAGAAGTCCCATCTCTACTTTCTAGCCACTGTTTTGAGAGGATTTCTTTCTGCAATTCTGAAATCCAAAATTTTCTGAAAACTGGGTTTTGTAGAAAATATTTAGCGCCAAAACTTATTTGGTGGAAACGCCTACCCTGCGTTGGTGTGAGGCCTTTCATTATCTTTATTATTAGCAACTATATTTGTCCCACTTAGTGTGGATGTTAATGTTTCACTGCAGAAATATCAGTGAGGTTGATTTGGGGTGCTGTCTCAAATTCCACTGGAGTGTTACATAATACAAAATAAGGCTAGTATCACCCTGGCCGGTTTGGATCAGCAGTTAGGGCATCAGCCCGCAGATCGGAGAGTCCCAGGTTTGGTTTCTGCTAAGCACACGTACCTCGGTTGCAGTTAGTCCCCGGCCCCAGTTGGGGTCGTGTGGGTGGCAACCACTTGATGTGTCTCTCTCACATTGATGTTTCTCTCTCTCTCTTCCTCCCTTTCTCCCTCCCGCTCTATCTGAAGATAAATGCAAAAAAAAGTGTTTTTGGGTGAGGATAAAACAAAATAAGGCTAATGTTTACATTTGTGTTTCTCCTGTTTCTTTTAGGCACATCACCATACCTCTCCTAATCCTTATAGTTAGGTGGTGCTATATGACTGAGTTCTGGTCAGTAAAATATTGGTTCTAATGAGGTCTACTAGGCCTGATGTCGAACTTCTTACCCATTTTCCATTTTTGCTCTCTTTTGTCAATACCTACTAAAAATGGAGGATTCAGTAGGGCATCTCCAAGACCCTAGAATATGGTAGAACTACCGAATCACATGATGTAAGCGAGAAATTAACTTTTGTTCTATTGGCCAGTGATGTTTTGGGGTTGTTTGTGACAGACGTTAGTCTATACTGACTGATGCAACTGTGTACTGGGTAACTTGCCTTTGCCACTGTCCCTTCTTCTGCACCTTGCTCTGTACCCTGAGAGGCTGCCCAAGGTGAATATCACTGGGCTTCTTCTCTGGCTTCCCATCATCGGTCTACTGGGAATACAAGCAGGAGATTAGAGGGTAGAATGAGAGTAAAGTCAAGTACGAATTCTCTTGGCTTCCTTTCTGCAGGGCCACTGTGGGCTGGCTACATCCCTTCATGAAGATAGTTTTTGTGCAGCATCTCTCTCTGTCTGGTTTCTGGTAGCAGCTCTCTGTCCCCACTTCTTGAGGTATAGTGTCTCACTATCTCTTGCAATTTCCTTAAACTCTTTCCTCTCCTTTATACAGAATCTGTAATATCCCAATTTGAGTGTATTAACTATTTGCTGCTGGAAACTTAGCTAGAATCTTAACGTACTACAAGCAATACGCGGACTGTGTCATCTTCCTAAAATCTGAACAATTCTGAATGTAAAAATACATATTGCCCCAGAGGTTTCAGATAAGCAATTGTGGATCTGTACCAAGTTTGTAGGTTTATTGTGAGTATTAATTATGATTATATTTGTATAGCATTCAATAGAGTACTCAGTTGAGGGTATTTGGTAAGTAGTAGCTATGATTGGTGCAGGAATAACAGATAAGGGTTGAGGGTCATATGGAGCTGAGAGCAGCTTTCATGGGCATCTTTAGGAGTCAGCAACATGGCAGGCAGAAGACATCAAGACCAAAATCAAGAACTATTAGACTGCCCCTTTTGACAGCCATTTCCTCAACCAGAACCAGACCAGGAACTGCTGGCAGAACCAGCTGGCCTTCCACAGCTGTGAGAAGGCAATGACTGCTAAAGGGAGTGATGTCTCTGTGTGTGAATGGTACCAGCGTGTGTACAAGTCCCTTTGCCCCATATCCTGGGTGTTTGCCTGGGTTGACCACTGGGAAGATCTGAACTGGCTGTACCCCATCTGTCTTGTGTCTTCTATCCTTCTCCCAGGGAGGTGAAGGGGGACCTGGGTACATCCCACCCCATGATCCTAAGTCCTTATTATTAACTAATAATAAATACTTGTTGGAAAAGTTTAAGACTATATGTGTAAAGGAGCTGGATGATTGGGCAAGAAGCTGGGTAGGAAATAGCACCTGGACCAGTAAGAAGAACTTCTAGAATGAGTGTTGTTTTGTTTTTAATTTTTATTTTATCAAAATTTGACCACCTCCTCTGTAGACAGTAATAGGGTGAATGAGTATATGAAATAGCCTCAAGTCCCTACATGTGCTAAAATTTATCTGTATGTTCCCTCAATTATCTATATAGTTTTTAAAACTGTTCTTAGGTAATTTTAGAGACACATGAAAATAGTATAATAAAAACTTGCATGTACCTCACTTAGTTTCAACAGTTATCACGCGTGTGCGCGCGCACACACACACACACACACATACACACAGAATAGTAACTATGTTAATAATTTTTTATATGGGTAATATAAATTTCTTATATTTAGAGCTGGAGATTTGGAACTAGTGAACAATTTATAAAAACTTTTCCAGAACTTTCTACATACCTTCACATATTAATTCTTTTATAACTCTCTAAAAATGGAGAAAAGT